GTAATTACTATTGCGTATGTAGTTATGTAACCTTTGCATGTATTACACGTGTGAAAGCTAATGCGAAATAAATAATCATGCCCAATCATTTACGTGACAAATAAAGCAACAGGAGAATTGAATTGTGGGGAAGAAAAATAACAATTAAACGTATAGAATGCATTGCAAGTGCGGTGGAAGAAATTATGATGAATGACTTTTTGACACCTGTACGTGTATTGTAATGTAGTTGGTATTGATTTGGTTTTTGACTTGGAGAATTTGTAGCCCGTGATTTCTCCATCATTGATTTGGAAACGATGATGTATATTTCCGAATTCAATTTAGTTTCAATCATTCTTCACGTCAAATTCCATTAGCTTGAAAGCTGTTCGTTTCTTGTTTGACCATAAGAACCATTTATATATTTAATTATTTTCATTTTTAAATAAAAAATTAATTAGAATATTTATAATAGAATTACTTAATGATTAATATTTTTTTATTTTAAGTTATTTTCATAAAAAATAATATTTTACTAAAAAAATTAATATAAAGAGCTGTATAAATATAAATATAAGCTATTTTATGATACCAATAATTGAAAATAAAATATATCATATATGTATATTTTTAATACTATATTATTTCATATATCTGTGTAGTTAAATTTTATATAATAATTGTAAGTGCATTTCAATTCAATTGGTATAAGGTTTAGAAAATAAAAAAAATTAAGAATTTAAGTTTTAACTTTAACATTTATCACAAATACTACATGACATGACAATGGATAAGGTGACATGGCATAAGGGAGGAATCATTTTTTTGGCTACAAATTTATCAAGGGATTTCATTGGATTTTTTTAGCAGTGATAGAGCCCATAATTTCCCGCTGACCTTTCCTAAATAACAACTCAAATTTTGTATGGACAAGTGTATCAGATCTTCTTTCTCAAATTAAGATAAAACAGAATGATCTCCCACTACACTTTTTTTTTTTTTAGATTGTCACCTACATGTGTGTGGGTTGAATGTATGGCTTAATATTCTTAGTTTTAAAACAATTTCAATTAAATTTATTATTATTCCTAGATTAAAGTATGCGTAGTATATTAAAAGTTAGGTTAGATGTTAAGAGAGGGGTAAAATCAAGTAGTATTGATCAGGATTCAGATCATGTTAATTTAAGGGGAAAATATCGTAATATTGATTAGAATACTAAATTCTAACTTAAAATGATATAGGTGATGTTGCTAAGATATTTCACATAGATGTGTTAATTAATATTTCCCAGTCTCAGTAATTTTACTTTTCACTAATTAATTGGTATATGATATATTGATTAATGGTAGTTTAATCAAACAATTTTTTTTTGGGTTGTATTTTATATACATAGATCAATGTTTTATAAAATTAAAGATTCCTCATCAAAAAATATATTTAATTTATGAATTTATAGTCAAATGATTTATTATAAAAACTCAAAATATTAAATGTAAATACATTCACATTTATAATAAAAATGCATATCATAATGTTTTTACATTGAACTCATTAAGTTAGTATTTAATATTAATTAATGACGGGACACTTATAAAAAAATTATAAAATTATAAGCTTGGACGCAAAGTACCAGTGCGTGCACTTGATTGAGAGATGTCCCGGTCTGGCTCCTATGATATGTTCTGCTTCATCTACACATGATATCCTCCTGAGAAGGGTCGAGACCCCCATTTTCTCTCGCGATTAGATTAATAGCTTTAATATAATTTGTCACTTATCTCACTGCGCTGCTACATGCTCTCCTGTGACCTCATCTAAACTAGTATCTCAAGCTTTATATAATATCTGATCCATGCACTGTCATGAAAGATGCAAATAGAAGCACCCATTTCGGAGCGTATATATATAACATCATGTTCATTTTACGAAAGCCCATATTTAACATTAGATATAAGTTTTTTGGATCCAAGTCATGCGATCCATTCATCAAGTGTTGGGTTACAGCAATTAATTAATGTTAGTGCATGTTTTGTTCAACTTGACCATGTGTGGACTAACAAACGATATGTAGATTAGTCTATTTGAAATTTGAAGTTGGGGCAGGCGAGATATTTGTATTGTCTACTTTTATAGTATAATGTTACTATCATGTTGATATAACATACATATTAAGAACATGATAAGCGAGGAAGAGTTAACTGTGTCACTGTTTTCTCTTGGCCACTTTCCAGTCTGGTCCAGGTATATTAATCACCAAGGCATTGTTGGCTTAATTTTTGGAGGCCTCTTCATATCACATGTTCACTATCTTGCCGGCCATGCTTTCACTTGGATTTGGAAGGATCTTGAGAAAAATCATGAGGAGAGAATCTTGTTGCGATAAAGGGACATGCTAGAAAATGATGTGTGATGGTCATTCCCCTCGGCTCTTTATTTGGCGAAGAACATAAATATATAAAACCGTATCAAAACGTTTCGCGGGTTGGCTTCACCCACGCCCCCAGTGTCTCTACAAAACATCTCACTTGTCTTGCTTATTTTTATTAAAAATGTTTACCTTGTACCCATTTTGATCAATTCAGTTTTGTCCGATCACATTAAAATGAGTCTTGTCTTAACTCGAAAGTAATCGAGACAAAATTTTGTGAGAAATTGAGATTCATAATAAGAGAAACACGAGATTACTCTCGAGACATCATAATAAGATGAAACACGAGATTACTCTCGAGACATCTCATCTTATCCTGTCTCGAGTATATATATATATATATATATATATTATTTTTTTATTTTAAAAATATATAATAAATCTATTAATTATATTAATATAATTTATACTTGTATTAATTATATCAATTATAATTTTAATACGTGTAATTTTTATTTAAATTTTTATTTTTTTATATTGATAATTTTAATAACACAGAGTAAATGATACAGTGTAATGTCTTCCTTTATATCAATACAATTTATTCTTATATCCATGTATTTAATGATTTTTGTTTATATCATACTTCTTGATTTATTTTTAAAAGAGTAATTAACTTAGCATATCTTAACTAAATAAATAAAAACAATAATTTAATATTGTATTTGGCTTGTCTGTTATTGTTATAGTCCATAGATTACTTGTAATTATTATCATAATATGTTATAGATTTGTAGTTATAATTGATGTATTTCAATAATTGATTTTAAATTTTTAATAAATATTATTATTTAGATTTATATTATTTAATTTATCAAGATGACAAGACATCTCGATCTCATTTTAGTTTCCTGTTGATTCCTAAAAACAGGATGATTTTTTAGGACAAGATATGGGACGGTGATGCTTCGGTCCTATCCATCTCATCTTGCGAATACTCATAATTTTTATTATTGTTACCATTATTTACATACATTTTTACTTTTATTTTCTTTGACAATTAATTTCATAAATTTTTACATTACACGCTGTGGTGGTTCTAGCACGGAAGCGTGGGACTAAACTAGCTAATTTAAGGGGTGAAAAGGGAATCTAAAAATTACAAGAAAGGAATTTATGAGGTAGAATAATGCCTTTTTGTTGTTGTTTTTATTAATTTCGAGGATGCTTTTGTGAGCATTTTCTAAACGGAAAGTCATGGAATGCGTAGTGCCCACTCCGAGTACAGCACAAGACATTGCCGCCTCTCACCTTTTACCCCACCAATATTCCCCTCCCACACCCTCCCCCTTTTCAGTTAATAAAAAACTAAAATCTTTATTTTATCACTGCCACCCTTTTTCAGTTTAGCTATGTAAGATCGTTAATAATGCTTAATGATGCCGTTTAAAATTGGGAAATAAGTACAAATTTTATAATTAAAATTAGTGAGCCATAAAAATAGAAGACAGTGAAAGGATGTACGGGCGACAATATCCGTACACAACTTTACTCATTATTTTTTTTTGAAAGTTATGAAATTATATTTATTAAAAATTGAAATTAAATTAAAAAAATAAGCTCATGTATTGATAAAATTACAACAATGCCGGCAATTTTCAGAAGGAGAATTTTGTAGGTCATTAATTATTAAATTATATTTAATGATTTTCCATATTTCAAGGGTTACGCTTATATCAGCAAAACAACAGCCCAGAGGAACTGCGGAAAGGTGTCAATTCTTTTTTATTTGGGAGAATTTTAAATAAAAATCATGAAGGATCAAAATATGACATAATTATTAATAGATTTTAAAAAATTTTAAAATTTCAGTTTAAATAATACAAATAGTTTTAATTGTAAAAAGATTAAAAGGTTCTTTATTTATTATGTAAAATTATTAATTATTAATTTTTTATTTCACTTATTAGTTTACTAATATAAAATGTAAATTTTATGAGTTGACATGTTAATAATTATATAAAATTTGAGATCAATTTTTCAATCACTAACTGTAATATCAGTTATTAAATTGTTAACTATACTTACTAATTTACTAACATAAGTTATATATTACCTGTAATTTACAATTGATATTCATAAATTAATAAGTAAAATTAACAAATTAACAACTAATGTTACTGCTTATCTAATAAATAAATGTAATTTATAGGTGATATTGATAAATTAATAATTAAAATAAAAAGATTAATGATTAATAATTTTATATAATAAATGAAGGGTACTTTAATTTTTTTATAATTTATATTATTTTTACTTTTATCTTTTTGGATTGAATTAAAATTTTAAAATTTTTTAAAATTTATTAATAATTATATTACGTTTCTGATTTTTATTTAAAATTGTCTCTTTTTATTTACCAGGAAATAGGAATATTTTATATATAATAATAACAATTATAGTTGTAATAGTAGTATTTTTTTTTTGGCATGAGAAATATAATAAGTAAATCAAAGAGAAAAAGAACTTTAATCCGACGTGACACAAATTCGCATGCGGCGCATCTATTAACTCCGTCATACTCATCTACGCCACTGAGGGGAACAGCGCTGCGGACACTGTAACGGTGTTAAGTTCACCGTCTGGAGCCTCCCACCCCTTCCCTCGTCTTCTTCTCTCTCTTCCCTCCTCTGCAATAACAAGCATCACTCAGCCACACTCTCGCTCCTTACACCTTCCTCCCTCTTTCTCTCTCTAGAATTTTCCTCTCCAACTCAAAGTGCGAGCTGGCGGGCTTGTTTTCGGAAAAGGTACGGTTCGATCACATGCAGTTCGATCATTATGTTTTTGTTTACGGAGATTCATGGATATTTGAGAGATAACATGGAGGGCTTTCTTTGTTTAATAGCTTAGTATTTTTATTTTTATGGAAACTCTGTTGGTTTTGACTAAAATTCCGTTATTTTTGCATTAATTTCGGATCGTTATGACTTTTCAGGGTGGTGATTTTTCCCCCCTTTCTAATTTTGGCCTGTTCGTTGCTCTAGATTTATACTCACTCTCAGTTCCTCTATGAGTATCAGATTGCATCGGCTTCTCGGCGCTTTATCTTCTTTTTTGACGGATTTTTTTAGTTGATGCTGTTTAAGTCCTGCGATTTGTTTGTTAGATTATTTGAGGTTGGTGCCAACAATGATTATAAGAGTAGAATAGTATTATTGGACGCGTTTGTGATTCTGCAGAAATTACTTAATTGAACTGTTTGTGTTAGCAGTTCTCTTTTTGACTTAAGATCGCTGTTGCAATTGTGATTACTTGTATTCTTTTCTTTTTGTACAAAAGATTTTTGAAACCAAAAACCATATGGATTTTGATGAACTATCTCTGCAGTTGATTGTCTTCAATCTATTGAGATTGATGAACTATCGCTGTTTGTGCTCTTCTGATTTTGGACTCCTTTTTTGGAGTCTATATATTGAGATTTTCTTTCTAGCCCCTTTGGATGCTGTAATCTGCGATGGCCTCTGAGTTCAGGGAAGTTTATGTCAAAGAAACAAGGAATTTCAGTTGTATGATACAGATGTCAAAATCTGTGTGAACTTGTTTATTTTTTCTTGAGTGTACTTGTAACAGTTACTTCATTGATCATCTCAACTGATAATATTATACCTTTTTCACTACCATTCCAGGGAAACAGCTGTATTCACAGGTTCATGGTGCATATTTGTTATTGGAGATGTAATTGGTGGTCACGTTAATATAACAAGCTAGAAACTGTTGTCTATTTAAGAATGGGTGCTTCTTGTTGTGTGGCTGCCAGAGATAAAACCATACAAAGTGGATCAGCTAATGAAATTTTGCATAGGAACATCCGCTGCTCTCCAACATGGAGCTTTCGCTGGGATCATCGAGGGCGTGTAGCTGGTGAAGATACTTCTATAAATTGGTTTTCTGATGGTATTAGCGGGAATGATGGATCAGAAAATAAGAATGAATCGACATATGCATCAGAGGATGGAAGCCCTTCACAGAATTATCAGAGACATAGATGGCAGAAATCACCAATTTCTGAAGGAACTGCTGGACAGGCAAGGACATCAACTTCAGGTAAGTTTCATTAATCCCACTCTTACATATTATTCTATAAACAGTTATCATAGATATGAGATCTGTGGACCCTCTGTTGAATTGAATGACACTTATAATCCGAAGGCTATGTGGAAGATGTGAAATTGCTACATTTGAATCTGGAGAAAGGTTCCCAACCCCACCCCACCCCCCCCCCCAAAAAAAAAGAAGAAGAAGAATCTGGAGGAAGTGGGTGAATCTAAGATAATCAAATTTGTTGTTTGAAGAAATGCAATTGTTTTCACAGACAGGAGCTGTTGCGCATCACAGTTATGGAAGAAAAATACCAACTCAACATGAAACTTATTTTAACTACGATATAAATCCTCTGTTTTTAAGTTGCTTAGTTTGATCTGAAGTGATGTTTTACTCGTAAAAAAGATATCTTAATCGAAGCAGATTTTGAAGTCCATAGTTGGACACAAATCAATGACAATTCTTTAAGTTTTCCTTGGTAAGATACCATATGGACAAGATGATATGACATCCGTTGTGAGTTTCATTATGTTTTAAGTCTCTTAGATTAATCTGAAATCTGAATCTATGTCTAGCAATGGAATCAAATAAAGCTCTTTTGCTTCATCAATCTATGTCAAACATCGATAATGTTGCTGATAGCAGCTGTTAAAGTAATTAAAAAAATTCAGAAATGTTGGAGCTCAATCAAACAGTCACTAACTATGAATTTATTGGCCGTTTAGGAAAAACTAGATTTTGCTGAAGAATTATTGCTGTGCCATCTGTCCCATGGGAGACCTTTAACTTGCTATAAATGTCTCTAATCTGATAGTTGTGGATGGTTCACTGTTGAATACTAAATCTCTCAACTTGTTGATGTTATTTTATTTGACATGGTTATTATGTTCATCACAGAACAATTTATTTCAAGTAATGCCTCCATGGATGCGAATGTGGATCAGGTGAGCTTATAGTAGTAAAGGAACTTCTTGTGTTGTGCTTTCAAGTAATGCCATATGCACGTGATTTGTTTGACAAACCCTCCATGCATGAATATTTTTAGATGAATGGGTTGGCAGAATCGCTGATAGTATCATGTCCATCTCCTGCAAAACCATCACTGTCATTGCCCTCAACTTCACTTTCGGCATCTCCTTTGTCACCCAGAAGTCACCTGCCTCCATCTACTTCAACCCCAGTAAGGTGGCCGTGCCGTTCCCCAGGACACCAGCTACCATGGCAAGGTTCTGATAGCCAAATGCCAGGGTTTAAGTCACCAAGTAGCATCTCTATATCCGAAGAAAGGCCAGCATTTCCTTCATGGAGCAATGAATCAGGGAGGCGCTCTCGAGGGGGATCTTCTGATGGTTGGTCTATACCTGGATTTTCTGAGGTGATGGGCAATTCACATAGAGAAAGATGGTCATTTGATAGTGAGTCCTTTGGCTTTAATCGTGAAAGGCTGGTTAGGTCCAGTAGCCAGATTGTAACTTCACCTGTTGATTTGCAAGCATGTGGTGTATGCTCCAAGCTTTTATCTGATAAGTCTTCTTGGGGCACCCAAAAGATAATTGCGAGTAATGACCTTTCAATAGTTGCCGTCCTTATATGTGGACATGTCTATCATGCTGAATGTTTGGAGAGCATGACACCTGAAATTAACAAGTATGACCCGGTTTGCCCAATCTGCACTTTTGGTGAGCATCAAACTCTTAAGCTGTCAGAAAAAGCTTTGAAAGTTGCAATGGATTTGAAGGCTAGAAACAAGAAATCAAGGAATGAGGTCGTGGATGGTGATGTTGATGATGATTCTGCTGTGTTCAATCACTTTAGAGGGCACCGAGGTAAAGGTCCCCGGGTGGAATCCAGCTCCAGCGGGAGAAGCTCTTCTGGGAAGCCCTTTTTAAGGCGACACTTCTCATTTGGCTCAAAGGGTTCTTCTAGAACCTTGTTAGATAATCACCCTACAAGAAAAAAGGGCTTCTTTTGGGCAAGATCTAGCAAGGAATGAGCTGTTTCTTGGCTGTTAAGATGTAAGTTGCTTTATCTCTCTATTTTGTTTGTTATCTTACGCCGTATTAGCACAAGGAGATGATGCTTTTCTATTTTTCCTTTTTGCAGTAAGTCCAGATTTAATTGGGTTTGTTTTCCCAGGCAGCAGAAATTGAAATTGAAACCTTAAATGTACCTCACCATATAGTCTAAATAGTAATGACTTCAGCGTGCTATACATAAGCAATTTTCTGACTTCATGCGTTATCCTCCTTTTAATCAGATTCCACTCGTCAATCTTCTCTGCAACCTCAGACACAGGATTGTAGAAAGGGCAGGATGTCATTCATCAATCTCTGATTTTTGAGCATCTTCATACACCGATCTATGATTTCAACAGGAGTAAAGGCTGAAGTTAATCTGTAAAGAAGAAATGTGGAAAGCATACAGGAGGATTCGATGAACATAGTCAAGTTAGTGTCTTGAGATCAAGGGTCTTTTTTCATTCTGTACAGATCAATTTGTTTATTGCATGGATATAATACATATATCCAAATGATATTTTGTTGTCTATTATGGATCTGAATGCTGAAACTGCATGCCGTTTGCCTTTTGGGAGTTGCTGGGCAATGGTCTTTCACAGATTGTTAGGCGATACCAATTATTTTGATTGACTTCAATGCTGGTTGCTTAGTGAAAGAACAATTTCAGGGTATTACAGAGTGTATGATTTTTAATTCATGCCCCCCCTCCCAAACCTCCTTTTTTATCACCCCAACAATCAATATATTAATATATAAAATAAAGTCTACGTGAAGTCACTGGTGAATAATATTACTCACCTCAAAGTTGGGGCTAAGCACCAGGGTCAGGGTCTGCTAAAGCTAATACATATAGTACCCAGTGTGACTTTATCACCCAAAACGCCCTACCCAGGCGAGGCATTATTGGGGTCCAACAGTTTTTAGTTGGGTGATTATGTTGATATTTAATTATTTATTGAAATGTGTTCTACAATAAAAGAATATTTTTTGATTTTATAAAAAAATTTAAAATATGTAGAACTTTTTTATTTTCATGTTATTTTTTTAAGTAAATCTTAAACTTGTTCGATGCTCTGTCAGTTCGTATACTTAGTATCGTACCTGACTCGATTATGAGCTTTGTTTTTAAAAGTTCGTTGATTATGAATTAATCACTGAACCAGGTAATTTTAGGTCTGAAACATAGCAGCGGTTAAAACTCGATCCACTTATCATGGCCATGAAGAATGACAGTCCTTTCCTTCTTTCTTTTTTTTTTTAAATAAACCTGAATGACAGTCCTTTCCTTCTTTGTTTTTTTTTTTTCAATAAACCTTAAAAGTCCTTTCTTTTAAAACTTGGACTCATGCACGGGTACGGATGAAAGATTGTAATTGGCACTTCATGTTTTTCACCTGTAAATTTTGGCGGATAAACACGCCGGTTCTGATGCCCTACAACGTGAAACGTGTTTTCAAGTCTGTTACGTGGCAACAAGTGTCTAGACCTCTTTTGTTGCTGCCCCACGTGTACTTCCCAGGGTCTGCATGCAAAATGTCCACCGCCATTGGTTTTCCTAATTTAAAAGCAGATCTCCTTCGTGGTTAAGGCCATGGTGCTTTCCTCCTAAGTACGAAGCTCTCCGTTTTGGTACGAAGCTCTACGTTTTGGTACGAACGATCGAAATGGCCGAAGCCCAACTACGTGACGAACGTGGTAATCCCATCCAACTCACCGACCAGTACGGCAACCCTGTCAAGTTAACCGACGAGCACGGCAACCCCGTCCACCTAGCCGGTGTTGCCACCACCGTTCCTGCCGCCGGATCCCACTATGGCTCTCAAGGCACCGGCACCACCGGTTTTGGGACACACGGTGGTGTAACGGGAACGAATACCAGTGGATTCGGCACGTACGGTACAGGGACTTACGGTGGCGGTGCAACCCGGGGAACGGGTATTGGTGGCGGTACGACAGTGGGGGATTTGATGAGCGACCACACAAAGCAGCATCACACCGGAGAACTTCGTCGATCCAACAGTTCAAGCTCCAGCTCGGTATGTGTGTGTGTGACTTACTTTTTTCGTAGCTAGTATCTGACCAAATATTTACATACTTTGAATCACACTATACGTCGAGTTTATTTTGCATTAGGTTGTACATTATATATAAATATTTGAGGAGTGAAGTAGTTGCTTTGAATTAAACAGTCCGAGGATGACGGGGAAGGCGGGAGGAGAAAGAAGAAAGGATGGAAGGAGAAAATAAAGGAGAAGCTGCCGGGAGGAGGAGGAGGAGGAGAAGCTATAAATTATCCTCAGAACCAGGGACACGTGAAGACCACAACCACAGATACTTATACAACAACTATGGCTACAGGTCATGGTCAACTTCCCACCGGTGCTGGCGGCGTAAAACACCACGACACTGGGCATGAGCACCACGAGCATCATGAGAAGAAGAGTATAATGGAGAAGATCAGAGACAAGTTGCCTGGTGCCCATCACTGAATCACCACCTGCTTCTTACCCACTTGCTAGCTGCTCCTCATGCTTTAATTCAGTTCCTTTCCTGTAATGTATAATTTCACTTGTATCGTGGGTTTGTTTGTGGATGTTTTCCCCCCTATATAGCACGCCTTTTTATTATGCAATTCAGATCTCTCTCGTGTTTAGTTTAAAATAAATGTATGTGCTCATATATCCTAATTAATAAACTAATTTATGATATTGCTTTAATGAAAATGGTAGTTACTAGTTAGTCGAGATTCTTGTTTTTATTACATTAGAGGGAGAGCGAGAGAGGCAGAGAGGAGACTCTTGGCTATCCTCACCATTATCTAGTAAATTGAATGAATCCCTGTATGCCCGGTATCACTGTTTTTGTCGTTTTTTTCCCTCCGTAAAAACAGTGATGTTATATGGGTCCCTGATATTTTTCTTTTTCTTTTTCTTTTTTGCTCCAAACTAATTTAATGTATTTTAGAATGTACATATGTTTTTGAAGAGGAATTTGAAATATTAATATCTTTTATTTTTTTATAGGGAAATACATGTGAAATAGCTAATACTCATAGTTTGGCTCATTAACAGACACACACAACTATGTTCAACTGTGTGATTTATACATAAGACATGTTAAGAGCAAAATAAATATATAAGCACTAAGCGATCAGCAAAATTATTAAATAGATAAATATAAGAAATTATTAAAATTATAAGTATTGATTTATTATAATTAAAATTGATTCTCATATTAATATAAGAAAATAAATTATGCTAACATAATTAACACATTTAATGCTTATTTTTAATAGAAAAAAGTATAAATATATATAATTTAAGGATGTTCCAAAATCATGTCCCATTTTGAACTCTTTTTCATTTTATCTTTTTTTTTAGGCTGAAAAAGATCCATCTCGACATAATCAAGATTGATCCTAGTATACACAATAATTAATACTAAAGGGAATGCATTTTAACTAATATTATATACGTGTTCCCTAATAGCTCACTTTTTTCAAAAAAAAATCCTTGTCTTTAATCAATTTCCATTAAAAATGTGTATCGGTAATTACTTTCTTTCAATTTTATTTAAAGAGGTTGCTAATAGGGGTGAACTGAAATTTTTTCAAAACATCATAATAATTTAACTGGCTTTAGTGAATTAATTATAAGTGATTATAAATAATAGGAGCATGTGTTAAAAGAACTGAAATACTGAATGGTGACCTTTTAGCTAAAAATATATTTTGACAGTATAAATATAATATTAAAAATGTATATTAAATATAAACTGTTCATGTTAAATTTGAGTTGTTTATCGTCTAAAATTTGATGAACAGAATTATTAAAATTTTTTATGATATATATAATTTTTTTTTACTTTAATAAATATAAAATATCCGCCAGATCTGCACCTTCGAAAGCAGCAGAGGCTTCGGAGGGAAGCCAACTCGCCAAGTTTAGCACCAATTAGGAGCTGTTTGAAATTTTTTTTTATTATTATGAAAATTAATATTTTATAAAATATATTTTAAGAATAAAAAAATAATAAAAATAAATATTTTTTATTTTCTCTTATTTTTTAAAATAATCATTATAAAACATTTAATAGTTTTTATTTTTTTATTTTTAAAAATAATATTTTACTTTTTATTTTTTAAAATACTTTTTAAAAACATGTTACTAAATAAATTTTTTTATTTTTTATTTTAAAGAATAAAAAACTATTGTAAGAGGTTTTAAATATGCCCTTAATTTCTGAGAACAATATAATTCAATACAATTTAATACAATTTAATTTAATTGTTAATAAATTTTATACATAATTTAATTTAATTATTAATAAATTTTATAATAATTAATTTTTTTATGTGACGTGTAACTGTAATTCTTCCTAATTTCTTCTCGGCCTCGCCTCACTTCTAATCTCACTTCCTGCTCCTCAGTTCTCACTCCCGCACTCGCACGCTCTCTCGTCTCTGGTTTGCTTCAATGTTCTCGCAGTCCCGCCTTCTTTCTCTGAACCCTACATTTTCCTCTACCTCTTCTCTTTCTTCAGATTACTCCTCCTTTCCTTCTGTTCGTCTCAAATTTCCTTCCACAAGAGTGATGGCCTCCGGCTCCAAGCTTACCAACGGAGGCCACTCCCTCCCCATCGGAATCACTGAGCCTCAAATCAAACGATTCACTGACGTTGGGAACAAGGTGGCCGATGCAGCTGGCCAAGTTATTCGCAAGTATTTCAGAAAGAAATTCGATATTTTTGACAAAGATGATTCCAGTAAGTTCTAAGCAAGGATTTGAGGATTTATTTATTTTCTTATTCTTTTGGAATGGAGTTTTATATGGTTCTTCTGTTTTCCTTGCCAAACCAGTATTTTAGCAAATGTTGAGAGGTTTCTAGTATTCTTCAAAATTTGACTCATGATTTTAATTGATTTGCGAGAGAAATTAAAATAATTTTAACCTTTTCGCCAAGCATATTTTAGTTTGATGATGTTGTCTCGTTTTACCTGATATCTGCAGGTCCCGTGACAATCGCGGATAGATCTGCTGAGGAGGCTATGGTTTCCATCATTCTAGAGCATTTTCCTTCTCACGCAATGTAACCTGATTGAAAATATCTTTGCCCTTCCTTTTGCTTAGTGCCAACTTGACGGAGAGCGACTTACTCTTATCGCCTGATGAATTGTATACGTGTTTGCTGCATTCACATATGATGATTAATTTTGCTAATATTCATTTGCAACTTGATTAAGTAACACATAGCTATCAATCGTATGATAGATGCTGTAATTAAAGGACTAAAGTACGTGCCTTAATTTTTCTCAAAAGTGCAGTTATGGAGAGGAAAAAGGGTGGTGTAAAGAAAGTAGTGCAGACTATGTCTGGGTTTTGGATCCTATTGATGGGACAAAAAGCTTTATCACTGGTAATTTTCTTTAATGATAACTAAATTCTGTTTTTGTTATGGACTTCTAAAATTTGATCATGTCATCTTATTTTGCATGCATTTCAGGGAAACCCTTATTTGGCACCCTCATTGCCCTTCTACTAAATGGTAAACCTGTAAGGATCTCTCCTACTTGGTTGCTTTTGTCTAATTAGAAGAGTCCCCCCACCCCCCCAAAATTATACAGTTGTACCGCACATTCTTGTTCCAATAAATGAAGACAAATTACTTATTTCACCATCTTCGTTATCATTTCTTTGTCATTGTAAATTTATCTGAGCCTTTTTTCTTGATTCATTATTATGCGAAAATTGAAGGAAGAAGAGAATGAAGGTGAATGTCTTATTAAATGTCTATATAGGTGGTATCATGAATTTTTATTGTTGTATTTTGGCATCACCTTGAGTTATTTGAGTTGTAAACTTTCTGTTAACTGTGGTTTCCTTTCGGCAGATTCTTGGAATAATTGATCAACCTGTATTGAGAGAAAGATGGATTGGGATATCTGGAAAGAAAACTATGCTGAACGGACAAGAAATCTCCTCACGTACTTGTGCAAATCTTTCTCATGCGTACTTGTATGCTTTCTTCTTTGTTTCTTTGGTGAACTTTTTATGAATGGTTTCTTGTTTGTAAGAGGGTATTCTTGAAACAGAAGAGTCATCACTTATCTTTTATCTACAGCTTTTCCACATAATATATGTAGGATTGCAAGTCTAACCGGTACCAGAATTTTTCCCTATGTAGGTACACCACAAGTCCACATCTATTCGGTGGAGATGCAGAGAAGGCATTTATCCGTGTTAGAAACAAGGTACATAGCATGTTATCTATGGCATCCTTTGAGGAGTGAATTATAAGTGAAAATTGTGACCGAATCTGACAGTGATGGTACAATTCAATCTCCTGTTTTCATGATCTTTCATTCTTTTGTTGACATTCAGTTATTCTGTTTTTGTTTGTTTTCTGATGACAGGTTAAAGTCCCGTTATATGGTTGTGACTGCTATGCATATGCACTTCTGGCTTCTGGCTTTGTAGATCTTGTTGTTGAGTCCGGTCTGAAGGTCAACTAAACAGTGACATCTCCTATGGTTGCTTGATTGACTTTTGAATCTCTTTAACACTTCTGGCTAAAAAACAAAACTTCTCTTTAATATCATCAAGCTTAATCATAGTATGAAAGTCTAGGTCAACTCGCCCATTTAAATCGGTAAACCGTTAAATCAGTGTTTTGATCGATTTAATAAAATGCATTGTTTGTGACCAGTTTGATCACGGTTCAACTACAGTTTTGATCTTTAACTCTTGAACCAATGTCTTGACTGACTAAATGACTAATTCCATTTTTACTTTTTAGCACCTTAAGCATAACTGAGGATGATTGAAAAATTGAACGGGTGCTGTGTGATTATTTGAATGTCACTATTTGAAGGCTAATGTTAAGTACTCTGAGGAAATAAACGAGTGAAGTTTATGGAAACAATGTATGGAACCAAAGTTACAATTTCAACGGTTCGCTTTTATGGTCCTTATGATGTTAGAGGGTAAAAACGCATGCCATGCATACTGAAGCTTAATCTTGACCTTTTTTTGGGGATTGTCAAAGCTTAATCGTTATTAGCTTGTTTCAGCCCTACGATTTTCTTGCTTTGATACCGGTTATTGAAGGCGCTGGAGGTGTCATAACTGATTGGAAAGGCGGTGAACTCCATTGGGAAGCTTCTCCAACTTCATCTGCAAGAAGTATGTGCTTATTGAATATTGCTCCTTTGGAATCCTGCTTTTTTTTTTTTTTAAGTTGATCCTTTCTTGCTTAATTTTATTTTTCCACTAAATAAATGAGCTGAGAGAGTATGCTAGCCCCTCCCCCCCTTTTTAAGGGAAAAGAAAAAGAACCTGATTAAGCTTCCATTCCGATTTCTAAGAGTCGCATGTGCCAGGTTTTAATGTTCTGGCAGCTGGAGACAAACGGATTCATCAAGAAGCTCTAGATTCATTACAGTGGAGGTGACACTTCAGCCGTTAACATACTACAATAGGTTGTGGGAGTTTGTCATTTTAGTTGGTGCCGTCCAAATACCAGAGACCGTGGATTGAATGGAAGTGGACCTCTCAAGGGTGAAAGATCGCCGGGAGAAACTTGCATTCATCCTTAGATGTTGCAGTGAAACAATTGTTTGGCATTTGTTTAATAAATTGAAGAAATATTTATGCAGCATTGTTGACGACGGTTACTATTTTGTGTTGACCCAGGTTTGGCGAGTTTGTAGTGCTGGATAGCTGTAGTTCGAAAAGGGGGAAAAAATCTCAAAACAGAAATAGGGGAAGAAAAAAAAAACAGAAGGGGCAGGTGGTCGTCCAGGTTACTTTGTTTTCAGAAATTTGGGGCGAGCTAGTTATCTTATGTCAACATCATTAGAGTACAGTAATGTTTCTATGAAGCATACAGCATGTGTTTCCGACGGGCCCTTTTCGAGAGATGTTCAAATTTTCTCCTAATATTTTGACAGGAAAGGAAAACAAACACTAAGAACAAAGTGTCAGCATAATGAAGAAAACAAGGAACTTCTTCCTGTACTTGAAAATAAAAGGAGAAAAGATGGAAATATAATGTAAATATCATACAAAAGAGGGTTCTATAACAAATCCAGAGCAGATTGCAAGGCCGAAGAGAATTGGTTGGGCCTGAGATAGCTTTTATCCGATTAGGGAAGGAAGAGGCCCGACAGCAATAAATATTTCTCCCCTGCCCCCCAGGTGTTTTGGTGATGAAAGATGCGTAACAAAGCTTTCAGTCCTTCCCGAAATCAGCATTATAATGGGCACTTGATTCTAGTTTCTTAGCTTCATTTAACTTGCGCACAGCCTGGAATAACGACAAAAACAATATTGAGATAAAGAGTGCTAAAAGCTCAGTAACTAAGCAAAGGACATATGGGGTAGAATGTAAATCTCAAAACCCAAACTAATAATATTTGTATTTGTATTAGAAACAAAGATGATTGATCTTCCCAGATTTAAACTACACCACATTAGGAATTAGACAAAATGGAATCCAATAATTGGAATATGGATAGAACGAATCGTCTTTGGAAATTTGGATTGTAAAGTCACAGATAATTATAACCTTTTGGTTGGAGATGGGGGAATTCAGGAGTAACACCAGTCTCCACAATGAAAATCCACGCATGAAAACGCCAGCTGAGATTATTTTAGGCTAGATTTTTTATGCAACAAGTGTCGATTTTATTGATGCTCGAATCAATGCGAACGACAGATGGTAGACAGCATGTTTTACATTTTAGCTAACGAACAGCCAACAATAACAACCAAATGAACATATTATCATTCCATTCACGACAACATTATGCATCTAACTAGACTTTCGAAAAAGAGAAGTCTTTACCTTCATGAAATCTTCATGAATTACATAGTCACGTTCTGCACGTATAGCAGACATCCCAGCTTCAGTGCAAACATTGCGAAGATCCGCACCATTGAACCCCTAAAGTCAATAAAATACATGAAATCATCAGGCAAAGGATTTTAAAAGTTGTGAAGATTGGACGTGGATAGGGACTCTTAAGCCCTACCTCAGCAAGCTTAACAACTGCTTCATAATCAATTTCCCCATGTTTTGCAATTCCAGCAGCATGAATTTTGAGGATTTCCATCCTTGATTGCTCATTTGGCAATGGAATTTCAATTTTACGATCAAGTCGGCCTGGTCTAAGGAGGGCTGGGTCAAGCACATCAGGTCTATTTGTAGCCATAATCATCTTAACCTGCAGTTTTAGTCCACATTTAATCATATCCTATATGTAAACAATATAGACAGAATTATCTCACCAATTGCAAATCTTTAAAAAGTTGTGAATTAATTTCACGTTTGGTTATTAAAATGAAATAGAATGAAATGGATTGAAAAAATCAAGATAAAAATAAACTAAACCATCTTTCCTCCCATGGTAAGGATAATAAAACTCATTAATACATACTACAAATGTGAGAATTATCACACCTTTTAAAAATCTCATGAATTATGATTCCTAACCCCATGAACTAAATTACCTCTCCTTTTTATAAATGTGCTCACCTAACCCCTTTGATTATCTCATTTTTACCTTTATTTTTTCAATCTATTCCATTCCATTCCTTTCTCATGAGCAAAGGGGACCTAATTTGAGTAGATAATTACCTTTCCAAGCTGATCAAATCCATCAAGCTGGTTAAGCAACTCCATGAGTGTTCTTTGAATTTCTCGGTCAGCACTTGTTCCCTCACTGAATCGGCGTCCACCAATGGCATCAATCTCATCCATAAATATGATGCAAGGCTAGACAAAAAGATGGCATTAGTTAAAGTCAATTTAATAGAGGCATCTAAGGAAGCATGCTTAATTCAATGGAAGTTTTTACCTGATGATCACGCGCATATCCAAACATTTCCCTAATCAATCTTGCACTTTCGCCAATATATTTATCAATGATAGCACTAGATACAACCTGAACAGCAATAAATTTTCAATTGACAGTACAGGTTTTATTAAAGGCCACATATCAAGCATTTTGTACACATAGCAAAGAGAACAAAGTCAAACCTTCAAAAAGTTAGCATCTATATTGCTTGCTATTGCTCTAGCTAATAATGTCTTTCCAGTTCCAGGAGGTCCATAAAGAAGAACACCCTGTAAAAAAAAAAAAAAACAAAATTCATCAATTCTTATTCTTTAACCATGTGCTATGCCATTCAACTATTTCCAGAATTTACCATACCTTGGGTGGTTTGATGCCAACCCTTAGAAACAGCTCAGGATTCATTAAAGGAAGTTCTATTGATTCCCTTAGCTCTCGAATCTGATCTGAAAGCCCTCCAACTGCAGAGTAGCTAACATTTCCAGGGTCTTCATGAAGCATATTATATACAACTGGATCAACCTGTCACATGCAGGAAAAAATGTGAACAAGCCAAGAAATTGGTCGTATGCAGGATGATAACAAAAGTCCAAAAGTAGAAGATGACACACTTCACGGGGTAGAGCCCTCATGATCGTAAGAGTAGTCATATCAAGAACCACTCGAGTCCCTGCAGTTAGCTTCTCCTTGTCAACCTTACTGCGACAGCCAACCACATACCTAGGTCCGCTGCTTGCTTTAACTATCACTGAAACAAGTTGGATTACAAGCATTATAATTTCATGGCTGTCAAACCAATCCTCCTTTTCCATAATTTAGACTTGAGAGAACAGTAGAAGACATAGATTTTATGAAAAGAATTCATCAGGAGAGATCCTAAATCTGACAGAATGATTGAGTTCCCAATTCAGAAAAATTATGTTACTCCTACACAGCTACATATAATGTTGAATTCAGAAACACACAAAACTTGGCAGTCGATACGGGTAGATGCAGAACAAATTATAATTACAGCGTTCATTGTCAAGAGGCCTCAGAACTTCGCCTATGATTTGGCCAACACTCTGCAGGGACTTCAGATCATCTTCAGTTTTAGAGAAATCCTTCTTCGCTGTCCGCAAATTCTCTCTAACTGAGTAAAGTTGAATTCAAAAATCAAATTAGCAAAGAAGAAACGTTAACAAACTATCAGTCAAGAAGCTAGTACAAAATTTAGCAAAATAGCACTCAATTTTTTCAGCTAAAGTCCATAGCCCCCAGCTACCGCGGGTGATCATGATATATGCGTTAATACTTGATAGTTGAAATGGAATACTGATAATAGAAATTTAATGCAACCGAAATCTGAAGAAAAAAAACAACAGATTTACTTGGGCCAATTGTCAGAGAAGCAAGTAGAACCTATTTCAATTCCAGTGAAAAAGCGTTTAGATAGCATTAATCTCAATCTGGAACTGATTTGGTAGTCCAACGAGAGAAAAGCGATGGGAAGGTGAAAGAAAGAAAGGAGTTAGGGTTTGATACTGGACCTGTACGAACTCTGGAATCGAGTTCCTTGTGCTGGAGAAGTTTCCTCCGATACTCGGTGACCGCTTCGCGACGTCGCGCAGTTTCCTCTGCCTCACTCGCCATTTCATAAAAAGCTATTGTCTCAACTTCGGACTATGAACTAAAGAATCAGGTTAGAGGGTGGGCATTGCCTCCTGAACAAGAAAAATACTGTCTACAGGCCAAAAAATTAAAAAACAAAAAACAATATAAGGTATGTTTGGTTTCTGTTTTATTTTTTTTTTGTTTTTAAAAATTTTTGGGTAATATAATTTTTAAAATTATTTTTCTACAAAAAGAAAAAGAAAATTTGTTTAGTTATATGAATTAAAAAAATTTTAAAATTAAAAAATGAACAAATAATAATGATTATAAACAGTTAATGGTGATGATTTGTAATAAAAATTAGTTAAAGTTATTATAATTTTCAATAATCAAATATAATATAATAAAAAAATATATTTTTAAAAACAAAAAACAATTAAAAATAATTAAATGAAAAATATTTATATAAATTTTAAATTTTTTTGTTTTAAATATAAAAAAATTTTAAAAAATAAAAAACAAACAAGCCCATAATATAATATACTCTTAAAAGCTGAGGCAAAATCTTTTATGTTTTTGTAAAGAAAAAAAATCTACTCTCGGCACATCTCATATTATAAAACAATTTTGAAAGTTTTTGGTTATACCAAAATATAAAATAATTTAAAAAAATTAAAGTTTTATTAATAATACTTTAGAGTATTATTCTTTAAATAGAAAGAGAATTAAAATAATATTCTAATGTTATGATTAAATATATAGGAGCATTTTTTAAAGTTTAAAGTTTTATTTTGAAAAAAGTAAGTTTAGATTATAAGGTGTCATTATTAAGTTTTATTGATTTACATAATATTTATAATTTAAGATAGAGAGAAGAGCATTAACTTTTTATTTATATAAAAAAATTGTATTAACTTTTTTGTTTGTGTGCCTGCAGTTTTTTTTTTTAATGTAAGTTCCTATTACAATTTACTAATTTTTTAAAACCATACTCAAGTTCTTTTTAAAATTAACTTCATAATTTTCGTTTTAATTTGTTGATGGGTGATTATATACTAATTGCGGTAGATTCAAATGTGATACCGATTATTGGCTCCCTTTGGTCCAAAAAAAGAAAAATTTATCTCTAAAGGCTGCAGAAGTCTTGGAGATCGATTTAGTAATATGAATTTAAGCCACACAATCTGTTAATTTAAACCATTCCTGGGCTTGTTTATTGTCAACTTGATTAACATGAATTTTGCCCCCAAAAAAAAAAACAATTGATGGGCATGAAACTGACGTGATCTAAGTATCAATTAAACAGAAGAAGCTTCCGGATTCAATAAGACAGTAAGAATAAAGAACGCAGATTCATCAAATTCATGTCAGATATGTTCTATACATCCCTCAAGCTTTTAATGGCTTGGGTTTGAGGTGATAATAACATTATTTATAAAGAGGCGCAAATGAGAGGCCTTTGATAGAATGTCAAACTGTTTTGAGCACTAGGTATTCAGAGAGACGTGAGAATGCTCAGTTGACAGAGACTCATGATTTGCTGTGAAACTAACATTCCAACGGGCTTATTGCTGAGAAACTATTACATATTGAATATACATGAATCAGAAATGCTTACGCCAGAAACATTCAGATTTAGTAAGTATTCATTGTCATTTAAATCTGTCATTAAAAAAAAAAAAATCGGTTACTGCCTTGACTTGCTGGAGAAGAAGGTGGTCATTTAGTTCAAATGAAATCGGTTTTACTAAATTTGACCAATTCTCTCCTTGGTAAATTCTAAAAAAAGGGCAAGAAAATGTACTGGAATTTACAAAACCACTAAGATATCGAGTCTTGCCAAATTCTATGCCTAAATATCGGGAAACCAAATTCCTGCTTGCAGAGTTGTCATCAGTTTCCTCCACTTCCAATCAAAATCTTGAAATAAGGCAAAACAACATGCTTCTGTTGAAGACGAGAATTAAAACATGCTCCTCACTAGGAGGATATGGAGAAGATAGTAAAAAAACCATGAAGTAATTGCAAAATCTTCTATCCTCCCTTGCAATCGATGTCATCTTCAATGGCTGTCCTCCTGGTTATTATCTTCTTGTCCTTCTCTTCCATTGCTTTCTCACAAGCCCCATCTGATACCTTCACTGCCAACGATAACTTCCTCATCGATTGTGGTTTAGATAACACAACCAACGTCCCAGAGGGAAGACAATTCCAATCAGAATCATAGACTTAACCATTATTACAAGCCAAAGATGACAATGAAGTCTCAGCCAATGACGCCGCCGTGTCCTCCCCCATTTACTTAAGTACGAGGATTTTCAAAGATGAAGCTAAATACTCCTTCAATTTGACTCAGCCAGGCTTCCACTGGGTTCGTCTGCATTTCTACCCTTTAAAAAATGATGTCTTTGATCTTCAGCAAGCTTCATTCTTTGTAAATACAAACAAATATGTTCTGCTTCATAGCTTCAACGTGAACAATAATAGCAAACCCATCCTCAAGGAATACCTCATAAATGCAACCGAAGCACAATTCATCATTTTGTTTCTTCCCCTAAAGAATTCTACTACTTTCATCAATGCCATTGAAGTTGTTTCAACTCCGAACATCTAGATCGCCAACAAAGATACTGCCCTGTTTCCCGTCGGCGACTTCAACGGCTTGACTTGCTACGCTTTCCAACCAATGCACTGACTGAACAATGGCAGACCTCTAATCACCTCTATTAACAACATGCTCGGGCAGGTTTGGGTCTCCAATCAGCCTTTCCTCGCCAACAGTAACATGGCGAAAAGTGTCTCTGTAGCTACACATGCTGTCAAATTCCCCAATAACCTATTGATCTCTCCTCTAATTGCACCGCCAACTGTATGTGCTTCTGCCACAGAAATGGTTGATAATGTGACCAACACAGATTTCAACGTCACGTGAAAATTCGACGTGGGCAATTCTTTTAGCTACCTTATCAGACTGCATTTTTGCGACATTGTGTCCAAAAGCCCCAACGAGCTCTATTTTAACGTGTATGTCAATCAGAAAATGGCGGCTTCTAATTTAGACCTATCGTCAATTATCGGAGCTCTGGCAGTGGCGTATTATAGAGACATTATGGTAAATGCTCCGTTGATGATAGGAGGATTAACGGTTCAAATTAGATCGGTAAATACGGCAACTATGATAATGAATGGAATTGAGGTGATGAAGATGAGCAATTCAGTGAATAGCTTGGACAAAGAGTTTGGGGTTGATGGAAGGAAGGAAGGTGATGGATCAAAACGTGTAGTAATGGCAGCGATTGGGTTCGCTATGATGTTCGGAGCATTCGTAGGTCTGGGTTCTATGGTTATCAAGTGGCATAAGAGGCCTCAAGACTGAGAGAGAAGGAATAACTTCTCTTCATGGTTACTTCCTCTCCATGCAGGTACGTCTATTATACGAAAGCATCAATCGATTTGTTAATTTAAATGCCTTTAGTTATAAACTTATGGGAAAATGACAATGAAGTCCTAAAGGATCAATTTTATTCAAGGTAAGTCCCAAGACATTCTAAAAGGCCAGTTAAGTCCTATGCTGTTTTTCATAAATTAGACTTACAAAAGAAATGATGAAAATGCCCTTATAATTAAATATAACATGTACACTCATCAGCTCCAGTATTTCCCTCCTGATTTGTCTTTTTCTTGCCATTAATGAGAGCTGCATGTAAGTGGTAGGGCTGCACATTGAAGAATATCATTCCTAAAATAGAGTTATGCTTGGAAGAGGTAGAGTTGCCTTAATTACTGATTCAAGGAAGCTCAAGGAGTTGTGTTGGTGCATTTAGACAGGTGTGTCTTTTTTTTCAAATCCCTGCATCTAAACAAAAAAGTTTACTCTATTAAAGTCTGATTTTTTATAAAATGGCTCTCGTAAGGGAAAATATGGAACGTTTTATTGCAACTGAACATGAAAGATTTTTTTGTTATTTCACGTTTCTAAAGATTTGGCATGAAGATTCAATATTTTGCAACTAAAAGTGTAAGAATTTATCATCGAGTGTCCATATCTTAAGATGGAACGCTATCACTGTTTCACTAATGTAAAAATCACTTATGTCAAAAGTAACTTGTTTCTAAGTGATATATTATTACATTTTATTTTGTTTATTATAGGTTAATATTATTGGGTATGATGGAAAGTAGTAGTTTTAAGAAATTTTTTTGTTATTTTCATTTTAGTGGAGATATTGTAAAAGATATGCATGGGACAATGCATTATGATGAGGATGAAAGAATGAGTAGAGAAGGAATGTCTCTTAAAGGACTTGTTAGATTGATTTCATCATGCTTGAATTGTGATTTAAATGGAATAGAGTTAAAGTACACCGTAAAGTTTGATTGTAATGCTCTCTTAGACTTTAAAGATGATGAAGGGATAAATCAATTAATGAAATTAAATGATAATTTTGCTTATGTGTACATCATTGGAAAGATACAGCAAAATATAGAGGCAACAAGAGATTCAATTGATGGGTAAGTTTTTTTAATAGTTGCATGATTAATATTGTGCTAATATGAATATGAATAGTAGTAATAAATATGATTTGAATGGAAATCTAGAGTAGGATATTCAGTTGGGAATTCATATGCTACACAAGATCTTGAAGTTCTACCATGTGCAATATAAAGTATCACAACACTAATGTCTGAGCTAAATGCAATAAAGTGGAAGGATTTGCTAGTAAGACCTGAGCAGGCTTTTGTGAGTGTTGATGATTGTAGACAAGCAATCTACAAGCATAGTATTACACTATGCATGTTATCTTCGTAGCTTATAGGAGAAAATATACAATGGCACTATGCATCATGTTGAGACCCATGAGATGTCAAAGTTAAATGCATTGACAGTATCTAAGCTCATAAGCTAAATCTTTTTGCTGCCTCCTAGAACATTTCAATCAGCTAGCAGACCTCCTCGTGTGAGGATTGAGTCTTAATATCAATAGAAGAAGGTTTATCATTGTTCTCATTGTCATAAAGTAGGTCGTACATGGAAGAAGTATAGAAATTCAAATTCAAGTTGATATTATTGTAAATGAGTTACCACATGAACTTGG